GGCCAAACGTGAAGCTTCAGCAGCAATGCGCTCAAATATATCATTCACAAAGCTGTTCATGATGCTCATAGCCTTGGATGAAATACCAGTATCAGGATGAACTTGCTTCAATACTTTATAAATGTAAATAGCATAACTTTCCTTCCTCCTGCGCTTCTTCTTCTTATCGTTCTTAGTTATATTCTTCTGAGCCTTTCCGTCCTTCTTGACCGCTTTTCCGCTAGTTTTTGGTGGCATGATTTCAAATGTGAATTTTCAAATTTTCAATTTTATGAATTTTCAAATTTAAACTACCCTCACTCAGAATTTATGTATTTTTAAAACAGAAATTTCAAGAAATTCTCTCTTCACATTAGGGGATGAAAAAGGTATAAATTCTTGGTGTTTGCCTGTTTTCAACTCAGATCACGTAGATCAACTTAACAATCAAATACTATTGAAACATGTCTGGTCGTGGTAAAGGAGGTAAAGTTAAGGGCAAGGCAAAGTCTCGCTCAAATCGTGCTGGATTACAATTTCCAGTTGGTCGCATTCATCGATTGCTGCGAAAAGGCAATTATGCTGAACGCGTTGGTGCCGGCGCTCCCGTCTACTTAGCTGCTGTTATGGAATATTTGGCAGCTGAAGTTCTTGAATTGGCTGGCAATGCAGCACGCGATAATAAGAAGACAAGAATCATACCCCGTCATTTACAATTGGCCATCCGTAATGATGAAGAATTAAACAAATTGTTGTCTGGTGTTACAATCGCACAAGGTGGTGTATTACCAAACATCCAAGCTGTACTTTTGCCTAAGAAAACAGAAAAGAAGGCTTAAACTATATCTTACAACACTATTTCTTTCGAAATTTTCGAACAACAACCGTCCTTTTCAGGACGATCAATTTATTTGATTAAAGAAAACATACTTCATTTCAAACAATTATTATTTATACAAATATTTCTTTGAAAAACGTAACCCATAAAAATGGTTAAAATTGGTTTACAGAAACCATTTCCAAAATAATGTCAAATGAAATATGATTTGGAATCAAGCACCTTCATCTTCCGGCAATCAGAGCAATTCTACTCCATACGTATTAATTCGGTTACTTCCTACACGTACGTGTAAAACATTCTAATTTTAACATTAGCTCTATTTGAGCAATTTGTGGATTAATTATGTTTTAATATCACATTTACGTTTGAAATAAACAATTCATTATAATCATTATTTTCGGTATATACGTATCCTAATTTATTTTAACTAGTTATATATAGTTTGTATATAGTATAAAATGCAATTAAACAATTCTATATATGGTACAAAAACATGTAATTATATTCAAGACTCATCGCATTAAGTAATAAGTACTCATCTCAGAACAATATTTCTGATATATTACTAAACTGAACAGATTTAGTAAAGAATTATAAAACATTCACATTCACATTGCTTCTTTTAATCGCTTTATGACAATATAACTAACAAAGAAAAGGTTGTATGTAATTCTATTAAATTCATCTTAAATATAGATTTTATTTCATATATTTTGGCGCGTAAATGCAAATAAGAAAATTACTCACGTTCCATCTTCATTCCATTTCGGCTTATAGTTTCTTACTCAATTTCACTCACACTCATGCTCATTCGGCTTGGAAGTATATGTATGGATCTTGAGTGTCCTTGGTATGCGTGTGAACTGTACTGACAATTTTGTCAGTTACTTTTTTTTTAAATAAAAAAATGAATGGTATAACAATGCAAGCCTTAAGTATTTTAGTTCACATACCAGTAGGTAGAAATTTTCCCGCCATAATTTTATCTGCCACCAAACGAATCAATAAGATATGGTATATAATTTTAAAAGCATGTGTGTTATTAAAAAAATGTCTTTCTTTCTTTGAAACTTATATCCTGGGTGGTAGGAAACTGATATATTCTAAACAGAAGGAGAATACATAAAACAATAAAATACTCTTAGTTTCTAAATTCTTTTACAATTTAATTCAATTGAGGAACAGATTTAAAAATTAAGTGATTGGGGTATAAATAGTATTTCATTATGAGATATCGGTTTTCAATGTTGTTTCATGCTAAATGTTGTCATGCTAAATCGTATTGAGAATGACAGTACAGAAAAAAAATTTTAAACAATTATTTGTATAATTATTATGATTATTGAAACTAAAAATTAACCGTTATTTAAATACGAAGACATAAAAGAAATAATTATAAAGAAATATTACATACAACTTTGTTATATTTACTTCTATATTTATTTTTATTGAGATATATCTATTTAATAAATAATTGGTGAATTCTTAGATATTTCTACGTCTAAAACTAGTTTGATTAAAAGAATAATTTTGAATACCTACATTAAAACATGTTTCTTGAAAATCTAACTAAGAAAAATTTCTAAAGTTTCTTACTTATGTACATTCAACTTCAATTAATTTTTGTCTTAAAATCTTAATATTTGAAGTCGATAAAAATATTTGTATAAATTACAGTCAAGTATGTGTTCAAATGAATTATTTATCTCAAAAAATGAAAATATTCGGGTCCTGAAAAGGACCATTGGGCAATATAGTGTTAATAGTATTGCATTTTTAAACTAATATTATTTATTTAACCTCCGAAACCGTAGAGGGTGCGACCTTGTCTCTTCAAAGCATATACAACATCCATGGCTGTAACAGTCTTCCTTTTGGCATGTTCTGTATATGTAACTGCATCACGGATCACATTTTCCAGAAATACCTTCAATACACCACGAGTTTCTTCGTAAATCAAACCAGAAATACGCTTAACTCCACCACGGCGAGCCAAACGTCTTATAGCTGGTTTTGTGATACCTTGGATGTTATCACGAAGAACTTTGCGATGACGCTTAGCACCACCTTTTCCCAAACCTTTACCACCTTTACCACGACCAGTCATTTTGAGGTTATAATTTTAGTACAGATAATACTTGTCTATTCAGACTTAAACAGTAAATAAATTCCACACTAGATATGCACAGTATTTATAGAAAAAATGAACAATACAAAAGATATGAGTGACAATGCTTAAACACAACAAATTACTCAAAAATGGCACTCAAATAATTGAGGGTAGAAATAAACAATGTAAAGGATATTAAGGATATAATGAACAATGACTGTTTGAACATGTGAACAGTTGAGATGGATCATAAGAGTTTGTTTTGAAATTTACTCTCTCAACATTTATTCGTTAAATTAAATTTTATTTAACAATTTGTTTAATTATGGCTCGTACAAAGCAAACTGCTCGTAAATCGACTGGTGGTAAGGCACCACGTAAACAATTGGCTACTAAGGCCGCACGCAAAAGTGCGCCCGCAACTGGCGGTGTAAAAAAACCACATCGTTATCGTCCGGGAACTGTAGCTTTGCGTGAAATTCGTCGCTATCAAAAGAGTACAGAACTCTTAATTCGCAAACTGCCATTCCAGCGTTTAGTCCGTGAAATTGCACAGGATTTCAAAACTGATTTACGTTTCCAGAGTTCTGCTGTAATGGCTCTCCAAGAAGCTAGCGAAGCATACTTAGTTGGGCTTTTTGAAGATACTAACTTATGCGCTATTCATGCTAAACGCGTAACCATTATGCCAAAAGATATTCAATTGGCGAGACGTATTCGTGGAGAACGTGCTTAAGAAGCAATTTCATACTATTTAATAAACATCGGTCCTTTTCAGGACCAAAATTAATTAAAGAAAAGAGATAGTTAAACATCATATTCAAATTAATAATACTCAGATAAAATGAATATATAAAGATAATTGATTCTCTCATTCTTCTTTGTAACTATAATTTTTGATGATGATCAGCATATAACGCTATATATAAACTTCACACTTATAGCAATTATTGTTGAAGTTATTAGTTTTTTAGCTTTGTTGCTTGTTAAAATTATCAACTTATGATAACAATACTTTTAATAAAAAGTGAAGAACATTCCAAAGTATATAAATTTTGGTATTATAATACAGAAATGTTAATATCAGCATAACTATACTGCCTCCCAATATTCTGCATACCGAGATCTTCCCATTGTGCTTACTTTCCAGTTCATTCAGAGGGATCACTCTCCTGACCCAACTCGTTGCTCAATCGAGAATATAGTAACTCGCTTCACGGAGTATATTCTTAAAGAGTTCAAAACTTTTGTGAATAGATATAATCGATCATAATTTACGTATACCTACTACGTTCTCTAATGTGATTTCACTCGGAAGTCTTTCACAATTTAATAACTGAGATCTCCTCAAGATTTTCTTTAGTGTACCAAGTATATGGCTTTAAAAATTTCTGCGAATAATAATTGACTATTTAATATTTATAATATAGTATATATAAGACGACGGAAATGTGAGAACGAAAGCAGCGTATACAAGCTCGAGAAAGTACTTTGACAGTTTAATGAGTTAAAGAAATAAATGTCCAGGCTAACAAATAGAATGGAGTAAAGGTGCTAAAATAATGCAAAAGTTGAAGTGGGTAATTCATACTGCAATATTTTTCATATTCTAGTTTCTATTGTTAAGTATGGTATACAGTAGAGTCTAGAATATGCCAGTTAATAGAAGAACTAAATGCCTGAAAGGGAAAGTTCAAAAGATTTAAAATTTAATTTATGCCAAAGATCAGTGAATATATTTAAAACTTAATTATATATGGTATTTTTAACACATAAATGAAATATTTTTATAATTTTTTGTTACATACTTTAGGTGAAACATGGCATTTGTGTATTTATTGGAACCTTATACGTATATTATTATCAGTTAGTTATATTCACTTATTTTTTCTGATTATTCAAAATATATATGCTCGAAAATCAGTATTATTTTATTCATTTCTAAAATGTTCATTTATTTGTGAAGTGTATGTTAGTAATTTTAAGATCAATTATCGACTTTAATTAAATATTTTTGTGGTCCTGAAAAGGACCGTTGGAGTTAATGTTGATTGTTCAATACAAAAAAATTTACTTGGAACTGGTATACTTAGTGACAGCTTTAGTACCTTCACTAACTGCGTGCTTAGCCAATTCACCAGGAAGTAAAAGGCGAACTGCAGTTTGAATTTCCCGACTAGTAATTGTGGATCGTTTGTTATAGTGGGCCAAACGTGAAGCTTCAGCAGCAATGCGTTCGAATATATCATTCACAAAGCTGTTCATGATGCTCATAGCCTTGGATGAAATACCAGTATCAGGATGAACTTGCTTCAATACTTTATAAATGTAAATAGCATAACTTTCCTTCCTCCTGCGCTTCTTCTTCTTAT